ATTTGCCTGATTTATTTGCATGCTCAAAAATTTTTTGCCAACAATATTTCAACTTCCTTTCTACTTCTTGAGTAATTTCTGCATCTAATTGCTTCTGTAGGATTTCAATTTCTCTCTTTATTTTCTGTTTTGAAGCTTCTTGTATATCATATAAAGTCTCTTCTCTTTTGTATTTCTGCGATTAATCTTTGATTTTTTTCCCTTTCTGTTTCTTTCTGACTTCAGCATCTTGTTTTAAAAAATGACCCCTCATTGCGGCCTTTAGAGCATCCCAAAGTAGTTGTATTGAAACTCCTGGTGTCTTATTCTCTTTTAAATAGTATGAAAGTGTTTCTTTTGTTTTTTGTAAACGCTCCTCGTCTTTCAATAAATATTCTTTCAGTCTCCAAATATAATTTTTCTTCTGTTTATATAATGTGAGTAAAATTGGGTGATGGTCAGAAAGATTTCTTGGAAGAACTTCCATTTTTATTTTATTTTAGTACTCAGTTTTAGCTAGGGAAAAAATGTCGATTCTAGAAGTAGAACCATGCACATCTGAGTAAAAAGTATGTCCTTTAGTCTTGTACTTAAATCTCCATACATCTAACAATCCCAGATCTTGCATCATCTTAAAACATGATTCAGGCAGTTTCCCTTGAGAGTTCGTAATCTTCTTTTTGGGTTCAAATACCCCATTCCAATCCCCCAATATCAGTATTTCTTCACTGTCATATTTCTGAATTTCTTGATGTAATTGTTTATAAAATTTAAGTTTATTTGTTGTTGCTTATTTTCCTTTGACATTGATAATGCATCTTTATGGATTTGTTTCACAATTTATTTCTAATAGTTTCCTTGGCTCAGACCATGTAAGCATACATATTTTCAGATGGCACAATTGTACATACATGGATTTACACTAAGTGTAATGTCAGAAGTGGCTAGAGATTCTTACATATTTTCAGGTGGTTCAGATGGTCTCAAAATTCATCTGTTTGCCTTTCCAGAATCAATCATGTCTAACTATTGTGTATACTGCAATTTGAACACAGTTGAACCATCTACATAAAACTAGCCAAACACAATTAGTTTAGCTAATGATAATGATTCCTTTTATTGATTTAGTAAATAGTAATAAAAATACATAGTGAATGATAATATACAGTAAATAACAAATAGTGTCAAGTTGAGGTTGCTACATCAGTACTTTTAGGACTTATAAGAAGTAAATTACTAATTCAAATATAACATTTAGGTCTAAATCCAATCATTACTCCCAACTTGCATAAACTTAGTGAACAACTGTTACAGTTGTTCTACTACTGTAATCAATTGGATTTATCCCAAAATTTATGAACCCAATTTAATGTTTACATAAATATTTCACATTTGGTTTGAAATATTCTAGTTGATGATTGCCCTTGGAATTCATGAGGGTTTGGTTCCAGGATACCCTGTAGATACCTAAATCAATGGATGTTCAAGTCCCCTTAAATACAATGGCATAGTAAGAAGATGCCACTTATATAAAATAACAAAATGAAGGTTTGGTTTTTGGAATATATATATATATATATATATATATTCAAGCTGTAGATGGTTGAATCCATAGATAAAGAATCCATGGATACGGAGGATACTGTAGTCATTTATTATCCACAGGCACCTGGTGTTTTACATCAGCATTATACCTGACCAGACAAGGAGTTATATTGTTATAGATGGCACATCAAAGCAGGAACCTAGATCTTTATACCATTTTATTTGCTTTTTAAAATGACATTTTGAGTTTTATTTTTTGTTGTTTAGCATTTTTGTCTCAACCCTACATATTGATTGTCCTTAAAATGTCTACAACTAAAGATCTCATTTGGCACAATCCCACTGTTGTTTTTTTTAGTAGAGTGAACTGGCTTTTAGATTATAACTTGGCGTGTTTGAATGTGAAAGTCATTAATTCCATATCCTCCAATTGTCTCCAATTAGCAGGGACACTCCAGATTAATTCTTTGTTATCCAACTTTTCAGATGCTTTAAAATGTCCCAGATTGTCTCTCCTCTTTTTATTTTCCTCCTTTGTACCCAGTAGTTGCAAGTTGAGTTTAAAATGCAAAAAAAGTATTTTGCACTCACCTCAGCAAAAGAGAAGAGAAGAGAAGAGAAGCATAATCTTGCCTTTCTCAGCATGTTCAGGCAAAATGCAAACTGCATTAGCTTCTCCTAGTTTATGTGTTCTTCCACATTAATAATTTTGTCGTCTTGACCACATTTTGATTTTGCTTGGCACATTTCTTAGTTTTCATCTGTGAAATGTTAGTGGGTATGTAATTCACTTTTATGAAATTACAGATTTAGGGCCTAATCAGACTGCCAGAAATAGTGCACATTAAATTGAGGCACTGCCCTGGCTCAGTGCTAGGGAATCATGGGAACTGTAATTTATTGTGGCACCAGAGATCTCTGACAGAGAAGGCTCAATGTCCCAGAAAAAAATACAATTCCCATGATTCCCTAGCACTGAGCCAGGAGTGCCTCAATTTAATGTGCACTATTTCTGGCAGTCTGCTTAGGCCTTTTAGTTACCATGTTTAGATTTTGGTGTTATATTTAGATGAATATAAAGATAAATTCAACATTTTTAAAAATAAATTAACAACAAAATCTGGCTTAATTTTTTTTAAAAAAAAACTATTTTTTTTTTTCAAATCCATGTTTTACCCAACCTATTTTGTACATTGGTTTCTCCTGGCATCTATAATTCTTGCCATGTTTCCATAATAACTTATTTTCCAGATAAACTGGATATCATACATTAAAATTACATTTTGTAATTAAAAGAACAATATTTTTCTTCAACTTTTAAATTCTTAAACATATTTGTTTTGTTTTGTTTTTTGTTTTTTACTGAGAAGAGTAAGCTTTTCAGCTCAAAACCAGAAATATTTTGATATATCTTTTATCTTTCATTATAAAGTAATCTGAAATTAATTGGGACCTGTAATTAAGCTTAGAGCCTGTACTATCACAATGGCTACATGGACAAGTTGACAACAAACTAAGTGTGTGATTTCTTTAACTCACTGACAAACTGCGATGTGTGCATTGCATTGCGATGGGTTACATCACTGGTCATAACATGATGTAACCCAACGCAGCATGGTGTAAGCATCGTAATACATTGGAGATTTAAAGAAATTTAAAATCTTAACTTGTTCTGTCTTGCTGTTTGACCAAGTAGGGATTGTTTTGGGGGTGTGTGGGGGGGAGGGGGAGAATAAATATATGCAATATTTATTTGTGTTGTTAAAATAAATTATTATCAAAGAAGTGCAAGACAGTTTAAAAAGTTGTGGCTACAGTGTAAATGCCCCCGTCTTCAAATGCATTTGAGCAGTTAGGTGATTAGAAGTAATTGGCATGAATTACTAGTGCCAGTCAAGTCTGCATAGCAGGTACTCTTCTATACATCCCTTCTCAATTTCAGTGAAAGTTGGAAGAGTGGGAAAAAGTATGGGTGGATAAGTATCATCTGCCAGTCAGGGTTGGACAAATATATTTCTGTTCTGTGTACATCATCCATAAGGTATTTGTTGTTTCTTGCCATCGAGTTGACTTCTACATATGGCAACTCTATAAAGAGATTTTCAAGAGCCCCACTCATGAACTGTTCCGCCCAGATTTTTTCAAACCCAGGACCTCAGGTTCCTTGATTGAATCAAATAGACACCCCCCATAAAATTTTTGGATTTCTGTGTTGCTTCTAAGCCAAGAGCTGCATCAAAACATCAAGCAAATATGAAAAAATGGATGATTACATTCTGATCTCTACTTTGGCCAGGAAGTGTTGCTCACATGAGATTATATAAAAATGTGACCATTTTATCAAGCAATCCTACATTTAGGGAAAGAACCCCAACTTTTGTAAGACACTGAAATGGAATGATGTTTATCTTGTGGGGGATAGTATATACAAATTATATACAAGGAGGCAAGAAATTTAAAACAAATAGTAACAATTTGATCTTTACTATAGGTAGAAACTCCAGAACAGAGCAAAACATCCAAAAGTAAGAGGTAAATGAATATGACAGAAACATCCTACTACTAAATGTGCTGAACATTGCCATATAGTGCTTTTGTCTTGCTTGTAGCTGAGCCCACCAAAACATGAGAATTTGGAACCTTTGTCTCCATCATGGAAGCCCTGAAATCAGACAAACCTTGTGTGGACACTTGTGTTGAAAAAGGAAAACATATAAAAAACCCTATATGATTGTTTTAGTGTAGAGATGGTGAAGGTATGTGGGCTACATATATAATTCTTAAGGCCTTTAAAACACAGGATCCAATAGCCCCATCAAAAGAAATCAGTCAGGATGCAGTTTTATGCCCCCAGAATTAAATAGGATTCAGGGCCCATTAACTCCTATAGTTGCCAAAAGACAAAACTGGAAGTGGAGTTCCAGCTACTTCCCACTTTTTTTTTAATATTATCTATAGTCAATGCTGGTGGTGGTGGGGATTGGCCTCCAGACCCTTCAAGGGAGAAGAAAGCAGTTTCCAGGCAGCCATCTTGAGTGGGTAAGTTTTTA